AAGTTCGTAGCCATGAAGGTATTTAGGACAAGTTCTAATTGTTATAAATTTTAGTAATAACAATTATAATAGTAATAAAATTATAGCTAACTTTATTGTTATTGTTGTTACTATTACTATTAAATTCTGCAAAACATGCAGAGATTGAATGGTTCCTCCTTAAAAAAGAAGTATGTTTTATCTAATGCATTTGTTAGTTTCCCACTCTTTCAACATATATCCTTGTATCTTTTTCCTCAAGAGTGCATATACTACTTTACTATCTATAATTTCCTGTTGCAGGATGCGTGCGTATGTTTCATCGCTCTTTGGTGGTGTTTACAGTAATTGCAGTTTGTAGTTAGGGTCATAGTCTAAACTTTGATAGTTTTCAGCCAAGTTTAATCTGGAAAGACATAGTGATGAAGATACCAATTATAATATCAATAGTAGTTACCCATTTGTATTTGTGATACTGAGAAAGTAATTATTTAGTATTTTAAAACAAATGCTTATTTCAGTACCCTAATACATTTCTGTCTCAATTGCAATTAATGCCATGTACCAGAAGGTGGAGTAATATGAGATTGACAACTATGTTTGCTGGCACATAGGCAATGTGCTTTTTCCTTAAATACATCAATTCTTCACTTCAGTGATCTTTAGTACAATAAATATTTAAAATCTTAATCTGCTGTCAATTTTTCATGGTGGACATCAAAACTACTATTGTTGCCTCCAGTATTACTGCAAAAGAGTGCTCTAAGCTTCAAAGAATTTCGTATTTCTTGTCAAGTCATGCATTCCTTTTTCACAGGGCTTCTACGGACCTGTATCAAATATTGGAATGTCGAGGCATTGTACAAAAGAGTTGCTTGTTAGTTCTTCTTTATTAAAATAATAATAATGTTTTCCTTCCATAGAAGAAACTGTAATTGCTAGGAACTGTGGTGATGCAATATTTTTGCTTCAGTATTAGTTTAAAATGTTAATTTAAATGTGATATGTAGTTTAGAAGCTAATCTTGATGATTCTGGTATCTTTGTTTACAATTTCCAATTCTAAACTGCCATTATCTCCTTCCTTTTCTTTTTCATCATATTCATGTTTTCTTCAGCTACCATATTTTTTGTACCGCACTGCTTTCAATTTCCACTTTCAACATTTTTCTTCCCTTTAGTCTATCAAAAAAAACAACAGCCAAAAGATCTTTCCTTTCCTACTTGTGAGCACAGCATGTATGTTTTTCAGCTCAAGATACATGCTGTTGATGTGAGCAACAGCACATGAACAGCAGCTTACATCTGCTTTATCTGCAATTATTCCTCAGTTTCTTTCCATCCATACTTTTGGACCATACATATTGCTGCATACCAAAATCCTCATACTTTTACATTTAAGTTTCCGATGAGAACTTAATTTGTTCTCCTGTTTTCTGCAATTAACTTCTGTTCCTCTACTCTTTCCACTTTTACTTAAATCTCAACTTAAAAATGTTCAACACAAATTCTCACAGAGCAGTAATTCAAACCCTTTTATTCATTGTTTCTTTTTTGATCCCCTTTGGTGTAGTTCAGTTTTACAGGGTCTCAAATGGTCTTTGCCCTGAACATTTTTTGATTCCTTCAAATTTCATAAAGAAAAAGTTTGAAGTCATTTACATTTTTTCTCTTTGCTCTATGTTCCTATGTAGGCTTTGACATCAGTAGTTAATTATAGGGAGCCCAAGTCGATCTGCAAAGCACCTGAGTTGGTAAGTGATATGTATCACTGTAGAAAGTAATAATACGTTTTTATAACTGTCAAATAAATTAGTGTAGAGTCCATCACATGAGTATCCATTTCTCACACTGAGTCAGCCTCAGGTGTGTGTTTCAGCAGTTATAAATAACTTAACCTCCACACACATTTTGTGGGTGTGCAAAATTAGTGCATTTGTAATTTTTGATACAGAATTTGCTTTTTCTGTGGATGTGGTGTGTATTGTTTACCTATGAATACACCTTTGTAATAGAACGTGTGACTGTAGACTGTGACTTACTTCATGCTTTAACTTTTGTGTAGAAGTTTGGAATACCTTGGCGTACATTTGTTCTCAAGCTTGACGAGTAGGTTTGGGTTTGTTTTTTCTTTTTTTAACTTGAGCTGGCCAAGTACTGTGACAACTTGTTGAAGAAATCGGCAAAAGGAATGACAGAAAATGAAGTAGAAGACAAACTTACAAGTTTCATTACTGTTTTCAAATACATTGATGACAAAGATGTATTCCAAAAGGTAACTTCCGATATTCAATAAATGTTAAAATATTACATTTAAAGTATACTTGAAGAATGTGGTCATGGTTTTAAAAAACCTCATATGTGATTTTTTTCATGCAGTTTTATGCCAGAATGTTGGCAAAAAGACTAATTCATGGTTTGTCCATGTCTATGGATTCTGAAGAAGCCATGATTAATAAACTAAAGGTAATGTAATATTCTTCTAATGCAGACTAAGCTAACATAGGAGTATGTAATGTTGAGGGGGAGCAGCAGAGGGTGCCAGAGTTAACTTAGCAATCAGTAGATCCTGTTTCCAGTAGCTGCAATGAAAGACCAATTTCTTGGTAGTCTATGAAAGATATATGGTCACATATCACCTAAGCATTTATGATTTTTATGATTTTTTTGTGTAGTTTTATTAAGTGTGTTCAAACAATTCTTATTTACATTCTAAAAGCACTGAGGATTTTCAACAACTAGCTCTGTCTTTCAATTTTATAAAATAACATTGTTCATATAAATCAATGTATAGAAAGTGAAACTAAGATAAATATAATTTTCTGTTATGTTTGTTTTCTATTGCAACTAGTGTTCTCTGTAAATATTATAAAAACATTTTTGCTGACTAGTTTTTCATATTTTAGTAGTGAATGTGCATAATTTATATAATAAGTACTGTGTTCACTGTGAAACCTGTTACAATATTTCTTCACAGCAAGCCTGTGGTTATGAATTTACCAGCAAGCTCCATCGAATGTATACAGACATGAGTGTTAGTGCTGATCTCAACAATAAATTCAACAACTTTATCAAAAACCAGGACACGATTATAGATTTGGGAATTAGTTTTCAGATATATGTTCTACAGGTACTAATGTATGTTTATTACTACTGAGTTACTTGTACTTAATTTTTATGTTTCGATAAGTGAACAATTTTTCTAACTATGAATACTTCTCATGTCGAAACTGACACCTTGTGATCATTTGTGGAATAATTTATTTTCCTAATGTTTGTTTTTTAAATTAACCCACTAGCACACTAAACAACAGCAATGCAAAATGCCTTGTGTTCTTGTCTTGGATTAATACCTTTGTGGGGCATGCATAATGAGCAGTAGAAGTTCTGTTGTAAATTGAATGTCTTACAATATACTAAAGAGATCTATAGTGAATATTGTTAATTTTTCTTAATGTATATGTTGTATGAAAATGTTAATGCTTTTATTTTCTTGATACCTTTAGGCTGGTGCATGGCCTCTAACTCAGGCTCCTTCTTCTACATTTGCAATTCCTCAGGAACTGGAAAAAAGTGTACAGATGGTAGGTTAGTAGGAGGCTTCTTGTAAACATGTGGAAAATGTAAAATAACTCCAAATAAAAGACCATCACTCTAACAGAGAAAAACGTGAGCTACTGCATTTTATTTGTAAATCATGGCTATCCTGTTTCCAGTCCATATGAAATTTGGAAGGGTCACCCAGATGACATACTAAATTTATATATGTATTTGCATAGCTTTATTTTTCACATCTCTCTTCTACACTTTGTGATTGATGGAGGAGATACTAATAAATACAATCAAATGAACTGGGCTGATTCCTAGCTTTAAAGTCAATTCCTAATATTTGGATAAAAGAAGATTTTGTTTCCAATATTAAATCTGAACAGATTTAATAGCAGATTAAAACGCAGATACAGGTTTCTTGTCCTGTATTTCATAGGAACCATTCAAAATCAAGTTTTGTGCAAACTTCTTTAAAGCTAATTTTATGAATTCTCAAAAGCTGTAAAGGTTTTACTTTGGCCAAATATTCTCTTTTTATGTGATTATGTCTGCTTTACAGAAGTGGAATATTTTATTACTTTTGATTATATTATTGTGTTCTAAATGTTACCTGTACAATGTTTGTGTTAAAATACAGAATATGTGTGCTGATCTTTGCTAAAGTGTATTTAATAGTGAAGTACATTTTAGGCAATAAAACTTTCATATTATTGGACATAACATATTTTTAAAGCAGTTTATACCTTAAATTGCTATCTGATGTAAATTATAATGGCACATGTCTGTTTCTTTGGTGAAGGAGCTTTTTCATGTATTACTTCTAAGTATTAGAACTATTTATTCTTCTTTTATTTATGCTGCATTAAGTGGCGCTTGGGTTTAGCAATAGAATAGTTTTTAACCCATACTATGGAATCCACATAAAGTGGATGATTGACATTTTGCTTTTCTTTGTGGGCTTAAAATAGGAGTATTGTCACTTGTGCCTCAGTTGGAAAATTGTTACGGATTTGCGTATCAGAAGTAGCTGAGAGTCTAGGTTGCTTGGCTAACTTCACTGTTTTGCCAGTTTAAAGAAGCAAACTTATTCATGTGTCACCTAGCTAGAATTAATGCTCTAAATTATGCTTATGGTTCCCTGAGGAAACAGAGCATGACTTTGGGGAGTCTTTGAAAACTCAACTGTTTAGCAGCTTTTTCAGGCTCTGAAACTGACAGAGCTTCCTATAAATATATATTTATTTGAATGGTATACAAATATTGGTTTTCATACTATTTAAGCTTGTGGGTGAATCAGAAACACCTGATTCTTAGAGGTCAAAAGTCCCCCCTTTTGTATTTTCCTTCGATGTTAATCAGAGTTGCCTGACCAAATCAGAGTAAGCTAAATTCATGTGTACACGGTGTTGCTACATGAGGTTCAGGGAGGTTTGATCCCATTTTAAGGAAAGGTTCTTCGAATACGCTTAAGTTTTTCTCATTACCAGAAAGTAGATAGACCTTAAATTAGGATTAGTCTGCAAGCCACATTTTCTCGTCTCTTTCAGATAAGAAGTATAAGAACAAAATTTCTGATTATTTTTTCTTTAAAAAAAAAAAAAAAAGGAAGCTTTAGTATTTAAGCTAAGGTTTAGCAGGCACCTGCCAATAAATATATGCAGTTTGGTTTGTTTCTCTTGGCTATGGGCTAATACGAAGGACTAAGGTCAGATTTATATTTTAAGTTTTCTGTTGTATTTTCAAACAAATTTCAGTTATTTTTCAGAGGACATCCAAGAGAATGCCATAGCTACTAAAACGCTACTAAAAATCCCCATTCCTATGTTTCTTCTTACAAAATGATAGGACTCTTTATTACATATGTTAAAATACATTCTTGATTTTTACAAGCCTTGCCATAAACTTCCGCTTTAGTCTTTGGAGAAATTCTTCTTTTCCTTCCTGTCACAGTAACTTTTCTGCATTGGTCTAGCCCACAGAATAAGTAAGCCAGAAGCCATATCCTCAAAAGGTTTTTTAAACATTCTGGAATATCTTTAATTGTTCTTCAAAATCCAGTGTTCCCTTTCATTTCCTAGGGCTTTTTCTTATTCTCTCTCAATTGCTTGCTAGTTTCCAGGAATGACAGGATTGATGGATTATATATAATATGAGAATAACATGGTTTTGCTGCTGCTCTGTAAATTTGATTTTTCTTATGAGATTCCGCAGGTCATTTATGCCCTTTCTTCTCTTATTCTTTGTTGGTGAAAATGACATTTAAATGTAAATGAATACAGCTTTGAAAGAATCTTCTAGGAATTGCATTCCTAGAGTCTTCTGGAAAGTGGTCACATTTACAGTAGCCAGATTTGTGCACTTTACTGCCAGATTTCAGACTGCATAGCTAATTTTCACTTGCCCAAAACCAAAAACTACCTCTTAAAGAAGAGAGGATTCTTAAGTTGTTTTTAAGGCCTTTTCTTGTTTGGAGGTAACTTTTTTCATATTCCTGTTCTGCTATATATTTGTGTGTCTCTGTAGAATATCAGGAAAAAATGCTTTCCAGAATGATTGACGTAGCCCTTTCCATAATGACAAGAAATTAATGTAAAAATCAAGAAAAGAAGGAAGAAATTAGCATTACTGCTAATGCTACTTTTGCACATAAGATTTTTAGAATACTGATTTTGAGGGACCCTTCAATTTTTGGGTGTCAGCAAAGCTTCGAAATGTTACTTCATAAATCACAAATGTGTGCTGCTTTGCGAAAATAGGTTTTGGAAGGTTTCAACAGAAATTTGAGGATCTGTAGTCACTTCTTGATTCTGAGATGTTTTCAAACTGTGTAGTTTTGTCTAGCCTCAAACCCAGATTGGAAGGTGGCAAAAACTGTGCCCACTTTTCAAACTTGATCTTTTGGTATTCCCTGTAAAAATATGTTCAGGAATGTAAGATGAGATTCATCATAAAAGTCAGTGTGTAGCTGACTGTGGGAAATACCTGTTAACTAAAAATTTATGTTTCTTGAAGGATGTCGTTTAAAAAAAAACCAAACAGTAAAATTGATTTTCTGAAATTATTTTAAATAGGATGTCCAAGCCATGACTTGGACTGATTTCACCAAGGTGAAAGAATAAAAATACACTTATTTTTATATGAAATTGGAAGGAACAGAATAGTAAAACCTAACATCATTGATAGTTAAAACCTCATAGAAATTCTTTTTAAATTCAGTAGGGTTGATAATTTGGAACACTGTTTAACTAAGGTATTTTATGCTTTGAGAGTATGAACGTGTCAACAATCTGTTTGATGTAGTCACCAAGTGATATGCTAATATTAATATGTTCAAGTAGTTCAGTAAATGACTGATGTTCAGTCACCAGCCATCTTCTAAAGGAAAATGATTGATCTGCAATGTTTCCATCCAATATGGTGAACATAAACCCACTATTTCTTTACCTGGGTGGTAGTGTGATAATAAACTATTGTAAGTAGTTATATATGAGACTAATTGAAGTTTATTTTGTTTTGCAGTTTGAATTATTTTACAGTCAGCATTTTAGTGGAAGGAAGCTTACTTGGTTACATTATCTTTGTACAGGTAAAAATAAGTGCTTTGCTAAACTTATGCTTGATACAACTGACAGTTATTCATTAAAAGTCCTTTTCAAATGGCGACAGACTTCGGAATTGGAACATTATGTTGCATATAAAGTCAACTGACTTATTTTGCATTATAAATTAATTTAATATTTACTGCATAGTATTTCCAAAAGTTATGTTTGGTAAACTTGCATATGTTGTCTGTGATTTATTAAATCCAAGTAAAACTAGTTGTACATTCTTAACTACAAAACAGCACTGCAGAACTGCTGAGTTAATAACAATTGCCCTAGAATTGTTTTTGTAATATCATATGTCCCTTAGCTGAATGTTAATATTAAGAATGCATATTACACTATTTTACTCAGATATGTAAGTATCTAAGTAAATACATATATTTACTTATGTGTATATTTACTATATAGAAATATATCTGTAAAAACATTTTAGAAGAGATATATAAAATTGTAGCTTAGCTTATTAAGTATCAGATTGCATTTTATTTCAAGTGCTTTCAGCGTCATGCTTTAATCACTGAGCAGCACAACGTATTACATGGAGGTGAAAAGTAGACTAACATACAACAATATAGTGTAATGAAAATTTAGTTCTGATAATACCAAGTTGCCTTAACTCACACTCACTTATACAGAGAAAGTCTAAATCTGCTTTCAGGCATTTTTCTTCAGTGCTTTTTTTCTTTTTTTTTCTTTTTTTTTTTTTATTTCAGTGGATTTAAAGAGTATGAGCATATTGCGAAAAAATTTTAACGGACAAGTCTTTTATTTATTTATTTTTTTTTAAAATCTTTCCTTGGAACAACTTTCTGGTAATCACTATTCTGTGATTCTGTGTAAGCTATTCCTGATTGCAATGCATTGAGGCTATTTGGAATTTCCCTTTTTTATTACTGTAAATTATATTACATTATTCAAATTCAACCCTGTGTTTTTCCTTTTTTCTTGAAAACACTATTTTTCTAGTGTTCATAGCGGGGGTTTCGTAGCAGACCACATTCTATATAAAACATCAGTTTTCATCTTCCCATTCCACAGGTTAAATGCATACTTAGGTGTGAATGGAATGTCTGGAAATGTATGAGAGGCTCTAGTAGTTAGACTTCAGGTGACTTTTCAGCACATTCCTTCAGTTTATCAAATACTACTTGTATTGTTACAGGTGAAGTAAAAATGAATTATTTGAGCAAACCTTACGTAGCCATGGTCACAACATACCAAATGGCAGTGTTGCTTGCCTTCAACAACAGTGAAACTGTCAGTTACAAGGAGCTTCAGGATAGTACACAAATGAATGAGAAGGAACTGACAAAAACCATCAAATCCTTACTTGATGTCAAAATGATCAACCATGACTCAGACAAGGTATGCAGTAGTGATATAAAAAAACTTTCATGTTTTCAGTCTTGTGATTCTTGTATTTGTTGAGGGCTTTTTTTAATATAAAAGGATCCACAGTTTTCCTTTTTTTTTTTTTCTTAAACTATTATTCACCCTTGTGAACTATTATAAATCTGTATTTATAAGGAAAGGGACAGGAGGAAGTAGACTACCTGTGTCATATAGGCTCTCTATGCCTATAACATCAAGGTATTCTGAAAAGGTGGTAATGCTAGGACTGTTTATTGTTTCTGTTGCGTTTCATCCATATGGCTTTATACTCATAGCTGTTGGAGGGGAATACTCTTTAAATACATCACTTTCAAAGTTGTACTGAGTCACAGGAAGGAGCCCAAGTAGTAAACCAAAGAGTCTTACAGAGACCTAAAAAAAAAATTAGTGGGATTAAGAAACTGAAAGTAACAGGAACCATGTTCTTCCTTGCTGGCAGATTACAGGAGGAGGAAAGGGAGCAAGGAGGGCTTGTGTGGGAGGATTTTTGCTGCAATTTGCCAAACTCCATCGTTCCATGAGTTTCATGGAATTCCAGTAATATCTGAGCTTTGTTTGTGGTTAAGGCAATGGTTGATAAAGGTTCTGTTTCTGACTCTGTATTATACTTCTGTATCACCCACATGAAACCAGTTACTCTTTTTCCCATAAAGTGAAGGGCACAGATATCTGTTATGTAAGAAACACTACAGAAGTGCCCGTGCATACCATACAGCTCTAGCATGTGCTTCCAGGTAGCCCAGAAAGTCCATTATTTACACAGTATCAGGTAAAAGAAACTGAGATAAGCTGTTCGCTTCACCTATGAGAAGAAATCCAAAGTGCTCTGAGAGCTGCTTTTTTTTTTTTTAAACCAGGAAGATATTAGAAAATGGAAAGTGAGATCACAAGGAAGACCTGATACTTGGCTGAAGCATAGGACATGCTTCCAGTATCTAGAAACAAGCTCAGGTTGGAACAGTGGCTGGGAAGATGTCTGTTAAACCATGAGTGAAATATAACACTGGGAGCTATTAGAGAAAACAGCAAGATTTTTCATAATCTTACAAAGTTACCCATTATTTAAGGGATTTACATTTATTTATGTCTGTTGTATAGGGTTTGCCCAGTTTCTTTAAGTATATGTCATTGACGAGGAAACGATATAGCTTCCAACCCTTTTACCTTTTAATGTTTACCACTGCATTTTCTGGTTCTTTAACTTCCAGGCTATTGTATTCAAACATCTCTGCTAATTCTGTTTTCTTTGCACTCCATCCAGCAGTGTGAAAGCATATCCGTAGACAGTCTATCAGCTTACTTATTGAATAAGCCAGTGAACTTTAGTGGCTCAAGCAATGAAATTAAATACACTACCGTTTCTTTACCTGTATCAGAGCCTCACAGAAAAAGTACAGTGTATTAAATGTCATAGTTTGCTTTTGTTTGTTTACTCTTTTTTAAAAGAGGAAAGAGAAAAAGAAACTTCTGGCAAAATCTTCATTGGTTCATTAGAATCATGCTTTTTGAATTCATGCACAACAATTTATTTTGGTCTATACTCAATCATGTAAGCAGAATAATGCTAAAATTTAATGTTAGCTTATATTTTTTAAAGTTGTTGATCTTTGCTTTTTCATGTTAAATTTTCTATGCTATGCCTGGATACTATAAAATATTATAATAAAGAATATTTGTTGCAGAATTAGAATTAATACTGTTCTGAGTGTATATCTAGATAAATATTGACTGTGTTTACTGAAGTTTTTGTGCTTGAGGCAACAATGGTTCGGCAAGATTCCAAAGTCTAAGAAGCCCAGTAACTTTATTCCTTTATTCTGCTGGACGTTGGTAATACTTGTACAGACTCTTGCTTGGAAATTTCAAAGATCGTTCAGGTCATCCTGTTAGTTGAATGTAAAGGTGTTTGGACTGCAGGGAATAGTTACCATTTATTGAAAGAAATGGACTTTAATGTGTGGAAAAGAATTGAGAATCTGACAGGAAAAAATCAGAAACATACAGATATATGTGGAACTGTAGAAGCTGCAGTTTGTAAACTGTTTCTGCTATAACATAACAAAATGCTTAGATGTTTTTCCTTAAGTTCTGGAAGGTAACCTTAGTAATAGTTGTGAAAGCAACAGCTCTGTCTCTTGAGATTCTGCCATAAATACATGCAAATCCTACCTTCTTTGCAGGGACAAAATGAGTTTAAATGGAGAGTATTGGCAACTAATATAAGCTGTTGAAGTATTAGAACAGAAATTGTTTTAATCATACTGACTTGTTAACAATATTCCTGTGTGTCAGAGTTCTTTATAGTGTTTTCTAAAATAGACTTGATTTCTGGGTTAGTTAAACTGTAGGTTAAAAAAATTGACCTGGTTCAAGTGGCATTTTAGAATTTCTAACTGCAAATCCGCTGAAATTGTTTGTGTGTATGCAAGCCTCTAATTGTGATTTTATTTTATTTTCCAAAGTAAATTGTTATCGTTTTCTGGTTCCATTTCTGATTTTTTAAAAAGATTCTTTATTGCAGGAAGATGTAGAGGCAGAGTCTACGTTTTCATTAAATATGAACTTCAGCAGTAAACGAACAAAATTTAAAATTACTACATCAATGCAGAAAGACACGCCACAGGCAAGTATACTTTGGTGTTTCTAGCTTGAACAGCTTAGGAAGCTTATTTTTCTAAAATGAAATTTATTATATTAGTTTGATGTAAGCCGCTATAAGAGTCCCTGTGTAAGATTTACATCACCATAAAGAAATTGTTTAAGTTTAACACTTAAGCGCTAAATTATATTTTTTTTGTACTTAAAATATAGGCAGGAGAAGATGGAATAGGGAATAAGAAAAAAAAGAAAAAGATAAGCAAGAGCTATTCCTCTTATACCAAGTGGGATTGACATTTAACTTGTCTTACCTAATGACACTTTTTTGTTGGTGGTGTTTCAACAAAAGCAACTTATTCTAGGAACAGCAGAACCAATCATCTCTGTTTTCCTATGATTTTGTGTCTTTTGTCAACTGGAATTAACCTCCAGTGTTGATAATCCATGTTCCCTCTGTATCTCCTAAGACATGGGATTTTGTACAAGAGACGTGTGTGCTGCCAAACTCAACACATTATAGTAAATTCTGCTTGCATTTCTCCCTAGCAAAAACGCTGCTTTGGATGACTCTGTCCTACCTTTATGCTGACTTTCATGAAACCTGGCATTCTTGATTTACAGAGTACTTTGCCTGGAATTGAACTTCACCTAGATATTTGTATGAATTGACTGATTTTAATACAGTAAAAAGTATAGATTCAAGATACTTTTATAAAGTGTTTATTGACCTTACTATATTTTAAGCATTACTGTTCTTCCTATGTTGCAGGAGATGGAGCAGACCAGAAGTGCTGTAGATGAAGACAGAAAAATGTATCTTCAAGCTGCTATAGTTCGTATCATGAAAGCACGTAAAGTGTTGCGACATAACGCTCTTATTCAGGAGGTAAGATAAAGTCCTCTTCTTAAGCATTATTTGATGAAAATCTTCAGGATACTTGGGTAAAACATCTGGCCACAAAACTCTTATGTCAACACTAATACTTCAGTGAAATTAGTGAGAATTTCATTGGAGTCTACTTTGAACTGCAGTACTGGAGCACTAGCTGTGATCCCTCAATCTTGTAAATGTGTCTCAGCAGTAAAGCATTAAGTGCCTGTATGCTTGCTCGTTCCTGTTGGCTGGTTCTGTGCCGACAGATGTCATATCCTATAAGAATCATTGCCAGAGCTATAGGTTCAATTGAAAATCTGAATATTAGTATTCTAGGTATGGAATTTCCATAGAAGCACCTAGCCAATGTTGAGCTCTAATCGTAAAGTTGGATTTTATTCTAATTCATGGCTTAAACTTTAAATGTTGTCTGGGTATGTAGACATGTACTTCTTAATCTCCCTTTCCTGTTAAGCAGTAAAGTTGTCTAGATTTTTTAGCTTCTAGATTAATGATCTGTGAACTGTTACAGACTGGCTGGGAAGGAAGTACTATTTCTTTTGTTTTTCTCCCGCTTTCCCATCTGTGCTAGTTGCCTGCCTAATTGTATTTCTTATTCTAACCCAAGGTTTGCTCCTACCAACCAGTTCCCAGTTTTTGTTTTCTTAGCCTTGCAAGGCATTCATTCTTCAGTCTAATTCATTCTTGCATCTCCTGAGCCTTGCTGGATAGCCTCAGAGTAGACTGGTGGGAGAGGGAATAAAGATTCCTGCTTTATTGGACCATTTTGAGCATGGAGGTGGAGAGGCATTCAGGCATTTTGAGATCTGCTGTATGTTTTCTGTCTTGTAGTGATGGAGGAAACAGTTTACCACACCCACCGTTAAATTTTTATTTCCTAAAAAAAAGTGGAGAGCTTTTAAGCCCAGAACTTGCAGTGTGAGACATCTTAAAGGTTTTGGATATTGAAATAGTGCTTGTACACACATACTCTGAAAGTGTATTTGAATATGTAAAAGATGAGGCAGCGTAGGTCCTGATTCCTTATCAAAATCCTTTGTTATTTGGTTTCCTGTTACTTAAATCATCCATGCAGTTATGATAAAATCCTGTAAGAATTTACAGTTACAGCTAGAAAATGGTAGGCAAGCCCTGTTTTATCTTTGAAAATAATTTTTTCTCCCTATTCTCAAATTCTTAGACAAAGTTTTCAAAGTGTACTTTCCTTGAGACAAGTTTATAAGGGTGGAAGAGATTACAAATTTTTATGTTTTGGAAACAAAAAATCCTTTCTGGTTACTGTTTCCTTTGTTTAACTCAGGAGGCACTAACTGACATGCCTCTGCTATGCTTTGCTATTGCAGTACTCTTGCAGAATAGTATGGCATATTAACATCAGGAACTTTTTCATGTTTTGCAAGAAAGGTGGATATTTTGATTGTTACTCAGTGAAAAACTAAGTAAGTAAAGTTTGTGCTCTGTTTATGTATCACCAGCCACATCTACCTGTTTTGGTTTTTTACCGTAGTTTTTAACTAAATTTATGACACTTTTGAAAATCACGTCCTTTATCATTTAGTCTTTAGTTCTCAGTTTTGAATACTACTTATATCCTAGGTGGATTAGAGCATTTAAAACTAAAATCAATAAAGAGTTGATATCTGTGCTGCAGTATAGAGTGCGGACCTCACGTAGCCTTAAATGAGCACTTGTGAAACCTCAACCAATAAGGTGAAGCAGTACAAAAATCCATTTTTCCCTCTTTTTTGCACTCTGAATTAATTTGTGCCGATCTCTGTGTTGCCTCAGCTGAACTACTACTGAGACCTGAGCTTGATCCTTTAAAATGTTAGGTGTCTGTGGTATAGATGTACTCTTAGGGGACTTCAGAAATTGCTAGGTTTTAGAGCAAATTGTAGGGAGGCATGATGTTGTATACCTAATGCTTAAACACAAATATGAAAATCTCATTAAGTGGAGATTTTACCTAGTTATGTCTGCATTGAGCTCAGTAACTTGTTCTGCTTCATGTTGTATGAATAAGGCTGAACTGCCAGGTGGTTCTGAGTTGAACATGCTCAGCTTTCTCACTAGACTGACCTTTATTAAAAAATGAATAACCGTCACGTCTATTAAATGTCTAGAGTATGCATAACTAACTTCTTGGCTGTCCAACTTCCTTTTTTCCTCTGCTAACCTTGTAGTAAGACTTGATTTACTGTCAAGAGACTTTTTATTTCTTAAAACATTCGTTTCTCATATTGTTACTAATTATATACATAGTTCTTGTTACTTTTATCCCGATGCTTATATACTTACAAGTAATGTATTCACTTAAAATTTCTAGCCTGACTTCTTGAGAAGTAAGAATGAATCTTTTGAAAGGAAGTCTGTTTACTATGAATGGTTAATATTTTCTTACCTCATTAATATTTTTTTCTGAGATACAAAGGCAGGATTATACTGTTGTTAGTGACATGATTGAAAGACTCCTAGCCTTAATGTAGTTAGCTCTGATTCTAGCAGTTAGACTACAGCACCACAAATTTCATTTAGGGTGAGGTGTCCAGGAAAATACTCAAGGCCCTTGCTAGACCTGTATATGTCAGCATGTGGTCTTTGCTGAATTGGTGATTGTGTTAGATATGCCCTGGCAGCTCCATGCTGCAGTCGCTTGCAGGACAAGGTAGCTCATACCTTAAAATGAATAAGGTCAGTGGGAGTGGTGGAGGGGAAAGGTCAATGCAGTCATTCCCAGAAATTTTTTTTATTCTGACCATCAGGTATTTCTATCCATCCTTCTTATTTGCATTATCTTTGATAAAACAAAAACAAAACCAAAAAACCCCTACCAACACAAATTCTGTCTTTTGTTCTCTCTGTCCTAAGTAAATATGTTAAGTATGATGATGACAATCAGTTTGAGTGTAGGGATGAAGTTAGGTGAAATCTGAGCGGATCTATTAGCTTGTTAGCACCAAGTTTCTTCTCATTTGTATTGCTGTGGAACATACCAGACCCTTGGCTGCTAGCCCAACAAAACTCGCTCTTTTGAGCTTTTTGTTTGCTTTGCTGGGTGAGTTCTACCTGGTGAGTTCTGTTGGCTCACAGAGGGCTCCAGCAAGCTCTAGAGCTGGGACAAAGTCAGCCATGAAAAGTTGTAAAGAAAACAGGAAATCCAGCTGAAATAAAAATGACTTTCTTTACAGAACAAATGAGAAACTACGAGCAAAATATATTGTGACATTTGAGTACTAAGATCTTTTGTTTGCCTCACTTACCATTGCTAGGAAGTGGAGAGGAGAAAGTAATAGTCATTTTCTTTGCTGCAGGTTGGCCACAAGAATAAAATATGAAAAATTTTCAAAGTTAATAGATATGCATATTCTGTTACTACACACCGTTTCCTCCTCTTCTCTACAAGAGAATGGGCAAAACTGAGAACTATTAAGAGGCATCTGAAGTTTTGCCTACAGCTGCAGTTTCTTCTGCAATGCATATATAGATTTGTTTTTGCAATAAATGTAAGTTCCAGCATAGCCAAGTGGAGCTTGCCAAATCGTACATCTGTCCTCAGTGACTGAAGAAAGAGAGGTTCATCCTGATTGTCTCAAATTGTATAGGAAAGGAGGTCAGTGATAGGGGGGCTCCATTTACACCTTCCAGGCAGCTGAGCAGTTCAGGTGTGTTCCAGGACCAGGTATACAGCACTGCATGGGCTGGGACTTAGACAGAACACAAGAAATCCAGCTCACATCTCATCGCAACAGCAATAAAGTAGTGTAACTTTACAAAATGATTACTGCTTGGGCTGTGTCTTTTGTGATGAAAAGTGTCATCGTCTAGGGCTTTTCAGCAAATTTCCTGAAAAAGAAGTGTTATTTTTTCTTGCGAATTTGCTTGTCTAGTGCAGTAGAATCTCTGAGGATAGGCTGCATTTTTTATATATTTAAACTGTGCTACTCAAGAATGAATAAGGTCTTGTTATAACGTTATAGTCCTATTTTTTGGTAATTTGTTATGTACCTGTGTACACGTCTTCTAAACATGTCTCTTTAATGCTATAAAGAACAGGTTTCACAAATCTTTATTAAATGAAAATGTCTTCTCTATCCTTTTATGATAACAAAAGTGGTGATGGACGTGAAGAAAATTGTGTTCAACTTTAGAAGTAGTTGTGAAATACAATCAAGTGAAATTTAACCATTCAGAACGGGATAAGTATTATGAAAACTAAGATTAACACATTCTTCAGCATTTAATTTCCAAGAAGTCAGTCAAACAAAATTTGGAAGTCGCATTTAATTTCCAAGTAGGACTGAAGTCAGTCAAACAAAATTTGGAAGTCCATAAAGGAAACATTCCAGAACAATGAAAGTAGGTAAACACAAGTAAAAGGGACCTAGTCTAGGAAGAGAAGTCAGTTAGCAGAGCCAGCACAGTAAGGCATATAGTGTTTTACAAAATTTTCACTTTGCTTAGACTGTGACGATAATAAAGCGATGAAATGTGTTAATAATTGATTAATTTTTAACCTGAATATTTATCTTCGTTTGTACTTGACAAATGAATCATTCAAGAGTACTGAAAAGATCTGGCTAACATGCAGGCAAACTAACCAATGAGCTGAGCGCACAGCTTAAGTGTCCCGACACTAATGTATAGAGATACTTTGTTGATTGCTATAAATGAACTATTCCAGGTTTATTTAATCCCATCTTTAAAAGAAAAATATACTGAATTTGCCTTAAAGCAAATAGTTCTGTAGCACTTATAACTGTTGTAAATAAAAATAACACAAAGAACGTGTCTTTCTTTTGCAGGTAATTAGCCAATCAAGAGCTAGATTTAACCCAAGTATCAGCATGATTAAAAAGTGTATTGAAGTTCTGATAGACAAACAGTACATAGAGCGAAGCCAGGCCTCTGCAGACGAATACAGTTATGTAGCATGATGTTGCTACCCTGCAGGTATGATTGTAAGGAGATCATTGCTGTCACTGTTTGGTGTGTTCCTGTGGGAAGAGGCAGGCCTGTGCCTCCATAATTGGTCACTTGGCAGCCCCTGTTTTTCTGCTGTTTACAACATCACCAGTGCCATGTCATGAGCGTCAATGAAAATGCCTATAGATATTTCAAGCTCATGTCATTATGACATTTCTTAAAACTTTACTAAAAGAATGAGTGAAGTATTGCTGAAATGTGGAAAATTGGTTGGGTACCATGCTTTTTTTTTTTTTTCTCCCCTTTCACGTTTGCAGTTGATGTTTTTTAATGTATCTTAAGACAAAGTAAAAAAAAAAAAAACAAAACTAAATATTGTAATATGACAGATAACCTAATAATTGTATCTACATTAAAATGTAAAAAAATGACGAACATGATACTGCTGCTTGTCAAATAAAAAAAATAAAGTTATATAATGTGTCTCGAATGATTGTAGAAATGGATATAACATTAATGTCTGTAAATATTATTCAGACCTAGAAGACTAAAAATAATGTTTTGTGTTTGGGTTTTGGATAACCTCAGAAGTAGATCTGACATAAGAACAAATTCATATAAAACTGAATACCAGGTATGTTATGTTTGATGTGATTATAAAAAAATATTTATGGTTAAATGCACATCTTGTTTTCTTGAGATTAGGCTAATTTACATTTGTAGTGCCTGAAGGCCTATGCTGTGTCTGTTAATCTCACACTGTAGGAATATATGTTACAAGAGAAAATAAACAGGCATTTAAGGGGATTTAAGTAGTGTAGATCACAAAGAATTAGGAATGGTTATCATGAACATCAAAGATACAGTTCAGTGGCTTTTAAAAACACCCCATTAATAGGGAAGAGGACAGCAGACTGGTAATTGAAAAATGTTTTCTCATTAATGCATTGGGTAGAAACACTGCATGGATAGGTACTTATGTTTGTTTCCACATAAGCCCATACTGTTTTTTTTCTTGTTTTCACTCCTAACTCATATGGTTGTATTTATCATATTTAGTTTTCCTCTGCCCCAATAAGATTTCTAGCTATTTAGGTGGGACAAGAAGTCCACGGGCTATTTCATGTCCTGCATTGTTCATCAGGGATGGCATGGTGACTGTTCACTCTCACATAAGCAAAGTATAATTTTAAAAGGAACTAACTCTACCACTGGAAATAATTGGAGGTTAAGAGTGTTAAGAGCGTGAACACACTGAATGCTTGCTGCAGAAAAGAGCTTCCTCATGGCTATGCCTGCAATTATCATAGACAGGATAAATATTAAGTTAACTTCAAATGTTCTATTTTTAGCCAAATTTTGTGTGCATATAAAAATATATATGTAGATATATATTATTTGCAATATTTTTTTAGATTGTCTGATGTTTCATCACTTACTAAAAGTCCACAGAGCAAGAACTAATTTTAAAGGAAAAAAAACCCTTTGAGGGGAGCTTTTTCCTTTTTTGTTTCTCTAGTTCTTCACTGTACAAAAGGTTTCTGTCCGAGTCTCAGATTGTTGCTGTCTCTTATTTCTTCAGTGGCATCACATTCATATGTCATCTGGAGGGTATAGTAAACTTTCTACAGTTAACTAGGAAATGCATGAAGAAGTGGTAATATGTTTTCCTTATGTGGATTTTGCTGAGGGTGAATAAAGGGCAATAAAGGGCGGTAAACACTTCTTCCATGTTTATGGTATTCTATCGCACTACACGAAGATCTAGATTTTTTTTAAAAAAAATGGATTTATGTCTTAAAGAAATGTGTTTTTTTTTTAACTGATCATAATGTGGTGCAGTAGGTTGTCGTCTAAAGTGGTAGTTCAGAGTTGTATATGCGAGTAGGGAGACAGCGCAAGTGCTTATAGTGTCACTAAGTGTAGTAAACAGGAGACACATTAGCATAGATTTTGACTGGAGTGGCTTTTAATCTATTTCAGTGTGAAATGTTTCTGTGCTTTATAAAAAATAATTCATTACCTCTTATGACAAAAATAGAATAGAGGGAATATTTTATGACACAACAGCAAAAATATTGCCTGAATGTTGAATCATCAGATCCTTTCTCCAGAAAACAAACTAACAGTGACACCAAAGCTTCTGGAAACAAATGTGTTTTATCTTGTAACTTGTGTATGAGTCAACAGATTTTAAGCTTGTTTCTTCATAAAAGGGTTAATAAAGCTTTATTTAAATATAGATTGCGGTAGCAAAATTTTAAGACTGAGTTCGAAAAAGCCTTAACAAATTTATTTTCAGAATCGCTTCATAGACAAAAAAAAACTTTACTGCTCTAGCCCAAACGTGTAAGGTTTTAGCATTACCTTATCTCTGAATTTTTGCATACCTAAAACATCAAAAGTAGTATTTTGTTTTTTAGATAAGCATGCTGCTGAGTTGAGACATGTTTAGTGAGTTAAAAACATTCATATATTTCAGTGCAGTTGGCATCCCCAGACAATGTCTTTCATAATTATACACAAACTCAGTCTTTTCAGGGCCTCTTGGGAAACGCTGTATCTGGGAAACATTTTGAATTCTACTTTGTAACTCACACCTTCCCCCTAAGGAAAAAAGTAGTGCAAAGATTGAGCCCTCTGTAGCTGGGTTAGGTCACTGAAGTCATTGCTGGCACACAGTGCTGCAGCTTATAGTGCAGTGCTCCAGCCTGGCAACTCCGTACAGCTGGCGAGTGTCATTTCACAATACAAAGTGCTAACGGGTATTAACAGGAGGGGCAAATTATAAAATGAGACGACATCCAAAAATGCCATGCGCTTTTAATTGTTCACTAGAAGGAACTCATGTAATTGTACAGATCTTTTTTATTTGTTGTAATCCTGTTAACATGTATGACCTGCTAGTTTATTTGGAGCTGTACAGCTGAGTCTGGAAATGTAATGATTTCATACATCTCCTACATCTCTAATATCAAAATGCATTTTACCTCTAGTATTGAGTGTTGTTGACAATTCTTATGCAAATTGAAAATGTATTTCTATGATGTTTTAATTTGTCTTCAGATTGATTATCTTACTCTAAGGAAAAAAAAAAAGCATACCTGTATTTCAGTGTGTTCATACATACAGAGCTGCTGGAGCTATGAAAGGTACTTAAATCACCACAACGTGAGAAAACAGTTTTCAAAGCAGAGAGTATCATTACTTTTTAAGAAACTTTTCAATGAGTACATCACTTTTCCAAGTAAAGAGCACAGTACAGAAATTGATCAAAAGGTTAATACATTTTATAAGCTGATCTCTTTCAGCTACGCTTAGAAAGTAATTTCTTATCCTTTAAAAAGTTAATTTTGAAAGCAAACCTTACAACATAGTATTGATTCTTGAGCAGGATAAATTATTTGTACCCTTAGGGCAAATATGTTAGGACTGTCCACGCTTTACAAATATGGTAAATACTTAGAGCTAATTAATCTAAGGTATTACAGTCTGTGAAAACATATTGTCCAGAAGCAATTGTTCTTGCACTGAGTATTTTCTCTTACTACAAATCTGAAGTTATCCTTACTTGCTTATGGTAAGTTGTACTGCACTTCCCAGCTGGTAACAAAACAGAGGTTTTGCCAGTTTCCAGGCAAAAGAAGAGGAAGGATCAAAACATTGTTTGGGTATAATAATTTTAAGACAATGCAGGACTTTGCTAAACACAAGTGTGTGTGTGTGGTATTGAGAGGGAAGGTGAACAAATATGATAGTAAAAGTAACCAGAGGTGTGTAGCTTGGATGTGCATTTCTTACTGTCTCTCCGTTCTGTGGAATTTGCAATTGCGTCATAAGGGAAGTAAATAACAGACAGCAAAAGGAAAGAGGAAGGTGAGGAGGCTGATCAGTTGGCCCCCCTTTTAAAAGTATTGGAGTTGTATTTTTGTGATCTTACTCTTCGAATAGTTTAAATGTGCATATGTTAATTAACAGGATTACTATTTAGTTCAGTATTGATGATTACTTGCCATGTGTTTGAGGAAGAAGTGCACTAGAATATTCAAAGAAGCGATGCATTTGACATAGCCCTGTGTTGGTGCTGTTCCCATTGACTGTCCCAGGAGCACGCAGCACGAAGAGTTGAACACTCCCTTAATCTCCCCAGTAAATCCAGTCCTGCATATGTAGCTGAGAAGTAAAGGACTCCGCTATGCCTGAGAAGTAGGACAAAACAAGTCAGAAGGTACTGTTAGTCACTTCTAAAACAGTTCTAGTAGTTTAGGGAATTACTTCCACTGTTCATTTCTACAGCCTCCTTACGACCTGTGTGACTGGAAGCTACCAATGGTGATTTAAGCAAAACTGAAATGCCCTCTTGGTTGGTTGCTTTGACTGGAGTAATGAACAGCTTGCATGAACACAGTCCGAAGTTCCTCCTGCTTAGCTGTGGAAAGTAATGGCTGTGTGCATTACTGGTCTATTACAATATCAAGTAAAAACTTTACACTTGAGCCACTGATGAACTTGCTGTATATATGAACTCTTTCTAGAGCTTCTGGACTAGTCAGAAATCTCCTCTGGTATTTTATATCAAGGAAGGCTATACTAACTTTGTGTGTCCTTCCTTCCACTCTTCCACTGAGATAAATAAAATAATACACCGGTGTTTCCATAAATATTGCTCTCCTCATGTTCTCTGATGTAGTGTTATAAACCAGGAACAGAAAAATCATGTCTTTTGGGACTACAGAAAGTAAAGTAGGATGGATGAAACACTTCCCGATGTCTGTATAGCCAAGGCATCAGTTCTTTCAGTCTGACTGTTATCCAACCAACCGTTTGAAATACTAATGTTTACAGGAGCAATGGATACATAAGGAGATTGTTAGGCATGTTTTCATCTGAAATAGGCCTTGTTCTTAGCACAATCATTGCATGGTAAACAGTCTAATTATCACTTTTTGGTGGAAGCTGGTGGTTCTGATGTATGTCAAACTTTTTTTCCAGCAGCTGTGCACAGTAGCACTGTAGTTGCCAGAAGTTACTAAAGAGGAGTGGTTTGAGGACAGTTTTGAAACTTGGCAGGTTGCTGTTGCCTGTCTTTTAGTGTTGATTGTATCATTTGTAACTTACTAGGTATATATGATAAAAAGTGTAGCACTTTTCGGGTAGTTTTTCACATTATGCTGAACAGTTTCACTTCAGTTTCATAAGATGTACTTGGGCTGTTTTCTTAAAAACTCTACATGTCTCCATTTTCCTTTCTTCTTTCCAGCCACTGGCTGAATAGAATTCATGGTTGTAAAAACGTGAGTTTGAGAGATTAAAAAAAAATATTTGAAACTCATGAAACCCTTACCTGCTTCCCAAGGGTTTTTTTGTATTTTTCATTGCAATAGTCAAGGGACTAAAAAACATTAATTGGGACAAGCGTTCTGTAACTTAGTCACAAAGGTATTCCTGTGGGAGCCGGGGCTGTGGGTATGGGTTC